AGCGCTCGTGGGCCGCGGGGTGGCCGGGAAGACCCGGGGCGCGACGGCAGCCCGCAGCCCGCGGGCACGGAGAGGAAGGGCGGTCACCGCCCCCGCACCAGCCGTCGGTGGTGCCCAGGGCCGCGATTTTGCCTTTTGGAGAATTTTTTAAAAGACAGTTGCTTCTGGCTGGTGAATTGGAAACATTTCACTCGGGCCTGAAACAGTCCAGGGGCCGGTCTCCGGGGCTGGACACGCCGAGGCGCCCGGCGGGCGCGGGGCCTGCTGTTCCGGGGTTTCCCAGATCCACCCCCAAGGCGGGGACGGGGACGGGGACCGGGACGGGGACGGGAGGCACCAGGGCGCGGACACGTGGGGCCTTCGCCTTTCCACGGCTGCTTCATGACTGGACGCGCCTCCTGATTTCACCCGTGACTGACCACTGCAGACAGTGCCCCTCAGCCCCTAACGTCCAGCCGGGAAGCCCGAGGGTCCCGCCCCTCCCTCCCTCCGAGCCGGCGGCGGGTCGGAGCCCGGGAGCCCAGCTCCCCCGCGCGGCGCCCACCGGCCCGGTCCCGCAGCTTCAGACCCGCTGTGCGCTCTGCTGCAGCGAAGAGTTTTCTGTTGCAAAACTCCCTTCAGTCTAGATTTCTGATGCTAGAAAGTCAGCAAAACGAAGAAGGTGAACGTTGGATGTAAAATACAACCAACCAGCCTTCTGACCTTCAAGGGCTGGCAGTGAGCCACCCGCGCTCGTGGAGGCAGGAACTTTCAGGCGGATCTTTGGAGCCGCCCCCAAGCGTGGGGTTCGGTCAGCGCGCCCGCTGTGGCCTCCCCTGCAGCCAGCTTCTTGCCACCTGTCTTCCCTTCTCCTCCTTACCTGTCTGGGAAGGACTGCTAATCGGGTCAAAGTCCAAACCACCTCAAAGACACGTGCTGACAGGTTTGTTGAGAGACTGGCTGAGGCGATTCAAATTAGCCCCTAAAAGGAAAGCACCGCAGAGTCCATTTCACTGCAGTGTCTGTCTCTGGCATGATCACCAAAAGCAGACATCACGTACACATTTCGATAATTTTTTTTTTAATCTATATTGATTTCAGAGAGAAGAAAGGAGAGGGAGAGAGAGAGAGAGAGACAGAAACACCAATGATGAGAGAATCATTGGAGATCGGGCCCCAACCCAGGCATGTGCCCTGACCGGGAATTGAGCCTCTATCTCCTGGGTCCTAGGTTGACACTCAGCCGCTGAGCCACGGCCGGCCGGGCCATTTTGATAACGTTCTGATAATGATTATCCTGTTTAAATGTATCTAAAGAAGCTGGCAGGCGTGGAGGGTGGTGTTGGGATTCCCCTGGAGGGGCTGAGAGTCTGTTCATTCTTTTAACACACACAGCTTACCAGTATGCAGTCATAATTTGAAAAAAGACATTAAACTTAGCCAGCGTAATGGTCAAAGTTACCAATATAATTTAGCTGGACAGCATGTGAATGCAGTTTCCCCATGAAAAATAGAAGGAAACACTGCATGTTCACTTTCGCAAATCATTTTGAAATGTCCGCTTACCAAGCGGATATATTGTGTCTGGTTCCTGTGACAATTACCGAAGCAACAGGGTGGCTGTAAGATGCACTGTCATCGGCCCCTGCTGTTTTCTGAGGTTAGCTGACCAGGCCTCTGGACTCAGGTGATTGATAGCACATGTTCAAATAGATCCTTGCCACCCTAGAGAGGAACTTGTCCACGCACATTTTCATCTCTTTAGGGGTCAGGAAGCGAAAATCAAAACAAGTCCTGTACTTCCTGATGCTATTGTCAAAATAAGTTGATAAATGTTTAAAATTGCCCACGAGCCTTCAGGACGTCATGCTCCCCTCCCGGCTGTATTTTCCTCTTTAGCATGTCCTGCCACCTGCATACACGCTACTTTTACTGACTGTCTCCCTGCAGTGTGGCCACATGAGGGCAGGGATGTCTGTCTGGTTGGTTCCCTGCCCCCAGAACCTCAGCAGATTGCCTGGCACAGCAGGCCGTCTGTGGGTACATGTAGAACGCCGGGTGGATGAATAGTCCTAGTCAGCTGCTCTTGACCAGGAAGCACCCAGGGGTTAGCCAGATGTCACAGACAGCTGAGATGGAGGGCCATACACCCAAACAAGGAATATTCCTGAAATCGGGAAACGTATAAACATCTCGGGCAACGCAGACACCTCTGAGCCTTGAGAGCAAAGTTGTCATAGCTGCCGCAGCTTTGAGGTGAGAGAATTTTCAATTCGTTGCTCATCAGGACTAGAGAGAGGCAGGTAGTGACAAATGGGAAATGCCGTCTTGCCCAGTTAAATACATGGGCTGCCAAGAAGAGGAAGGAGCCAGGCGTTCAAGTTGGGCAAAGCCCGGTAACAGGCGGGTGAGAAAATCTGATTTCTGGTCCAATCTCTGGGAGATTCCAGAAGGAGAGAAATCCTTCCAGTGCTGGGGACAGGAATGATGAGCCCAAGGGGCTCGTGTCCCAGGCAGACGGGCCTTCCTGTGACCCACGTCCAGCCTGCCTGAGGGACAGCTGGCTGCAGCTCTACCGAGGCCTTGTCATTTTAACATTTTTCAGCTGAACAGCCAGAATTTTCTTCTGGAGGATGCAGCTCTGATTTTTATCAAGGCAGGTTCTGGTAAAAGATGACTCACTGTGCAGGTGGGTCCCTGGTAGCTGACTTTGCCAGAAGCGTGGCAATAAGGGGAGGCAGTCCTGAGATGCTGTCACGGCACCTGACCCTGCTACCAGCGCCCGCGGTGCCCCCGGTGAACTCATTCGACAGGCTGGGAAACAGCTGGGAGGCTCCTGCCGTGCACACGGTAGCTGGGGACTGGAAAGGCAGAGCCACCTGAAGCGCCTGTGAAGTGAACTCAGTGGCCTGCTGTGAGTCAGAGCAGATCCATGTATTTAGGGTTTTTCTGGAGAAACCAAGGAAGGGCCTTGGTTCATGGCTCACTTTGTGGCGATAAGGACGGGTGGAGCCGGACACACTTCTCAGCGTTAAAATCAGGAGCAATCGGGCACCAGCACTTCTGCAGCGACTCCTGCGGCCCCTGTTCTGGGTTGTAGTTTAACGTGTTTTGTCTCGTAGTCAGTGCTACTTGGACTTTTCCTGAGTGGTAGCAGTTAGTGACATGAAAAATGGTCAATGCGTCTCAGTTGCCGCCTTAGACACCACCACCCAGTGAGTGAGCTCCGTCCTCACACGAGTGACAACTGAAGACTCGGTGGCAGCACCGCCGCCTGCCGGAGGGCCAGTCCTGCTCCACGAGGTCCTCATGGTCCCTCGCGGCTCTGTTCCGACGGCTGTCCTGTGAGCTCCGCGCCCTCGTTGGGGGCCATGGGCTTCTCAAGGCCCCGTCTCGGTGGCCCCGCTCTCACCTCCCTGGTTTCCTCGCAGCTGGAGAGATGGCCGCCCAGTGCGTGACCAAGGTGGAGCTGAACGTTTCCTGCGCCAACCTCCTGGACAAGGACATCGGATCCAAGTCGGACCCTCTGTGCGTGCTGTTTCTGAGCACGAGCGGCCAGCAGTGGTACGAGGTAATGTTGACACTGTAGATCAAAAGCAGGCTGGATTGTTCTTTGAGGACCTGAAGAGTTTTAAAATGTCACAAATAGTAAAACCCTCGCCTCAGCACAGTTTGGGGCAGGCTTGCCCTTGGCTGGAGGTTTTCACACACGGGGACCTTCCTTAGCGGCCGGGCCCAGGCGGAGTGCGCTGCAGCACACAGGTGAGGCAGGGCAGGCCCGCCCTTGACCTGAAGAAGCCTTTGTTTTGGGGGTGGGTGCAGGTGGAGCGCACCGAGAGGATTAAGAACTGCCTGAGTCCCTCCTTCTCAAAGACCTTTATTATCGATTACTACTTCGAAGTGGTTCAGAAACTGAGATTTGGGGTTTATGACATCGACAACAAAACCATCGAGCTGAGTGACGATGACTTCCTGGGGGAGTGCGAGTGCACCCTCGGACAGGTGAGTGGGCGCGGCTGGCTGGGCTGGGTCTGAACTGACACCCAAGGATTGGGCCTTTGTTTTGTTTTTTTAAATTTAGTCTGTGGGGCCCCTCCTGTGCCCCCTGGGTGCTCTCCTGCGGCTCCCTGGGCCTTCACCTCTTTATCATCGTTGCCTAGTTACGTCTGTCTTTCCGGTGCAGGGCAAGTCTGGTCAGGGTAGGGGTGTGTCCGTGGGCTCAGTCTGACTGCTCAGGAGAGGTCACGACCGTGTGTACGGAATGGGCAGCTCTTGGGAGGAGCCGTTTTCTCGGTGGGTGACACAATTGCTCAGGTCTGTCCTTTCAGTTCATTTCTCGGCGCTGAAATATTTGGAGATCACAGTGCTTCTGTGTCTCAGTGGCAATGTGGAACTGGTCAGTTTTCTAAAACTTCGATAAATAGTATGAAAGGGAACTTAAAGTATTTATTTTTGGGGAAAAAGCCAATATAGCTAACATTGAGATGGGTTTGAGAGACTACAGCTGATGGGGAGAGAGTGCCGGGGTCGACTGTATGATTTAACCAAAGCGGTATCTTGTGAGGGTCGAACGTTGACGTAAGGTGTCAGCTGACGCTGAATCCCGTCTGTGGCACGTCCCGAGGCCTGGCCCGCGATTCAGCGCCGTGAGACCCGGCCCCTCCCCGCCACACGGAAGCTGGCTTTGAAGCAGCTGTGAGGGAGCGAGGGGGTGGGGGAGGCCGCGCCTCCCAGGGCCGGCTCCTTGGGAATGGTTTCCAGGGGGCTGCAGACGTGCCCTACACTTCAGAGCCACTACGTCCTTGCAGAACAGACGCTTCCAGTTCTCATGACTTTTTAAGTGGACTTTATCCTCAGTCTTTTTTTCCAAAACCATGTAGTTTAAAACTCACAAGACCAAGTGGAAAAGCTCTTTGCATCACTCTCTGCTTTTAACAGATCGTCTCCAGCAAGAAGCTGACCCGGCCGCTGGTGCTGAAGAACGGCAGGCCCGCGGGCAAGGGCAGCATCACGGTCAGCAGGCGCCGCCTTCCGCCCCTCGGGTCCGCGGGGGCACCAGGCCTGTCCCGCCGGGCGCCCAGAGCCGCCTCGCGTCCCACCCTGCTGGGCAGCGGTCACGGGCACGTGCGTGCTGTGCGTGCCAACGAGGAGGACACACACCCAACCCCTTGCGTTTCTGAGTTGTCCACAGGGTCAGGCCTCCTGATGCCCCTGCCCCTGGGGAGCATGCGTCCCCCAGAGGGAAGCGGCCTCACCCGAATGGGTCCACCGGGCTCTCTGCAAAGCAGAGTTGTCCCCACAGCACGGCAGACACTTCCCAGGACGGTTTCTTCCCCAGTGGGTCTCACACTGTGACAGGGCCGGGACCTCCTCCCATGCCTGTCCTCCCAGCAGGACGTCCGGCGCTGGCTGCCAGCCCCGGGCCGGCGAATATGCTTCACCCTGCAGTAGACAGAGCCCACCTTGCGCAGCGCCACGCTCTTCATGGTCTCACCTTCTGGGCTGTGTCAGGCCGTCTCTCCCGAGTGATGGTTTCTGACCTTAGCTGCCGATAGAAGGAGGGCCCCTGGGAGCCTCCTTTCAGGGCCATTGCTGCCGTGAAACTCTCTTCCCAAGCAGCTGTTTCTCTCCAGTTTAAACTTCCTAAAGCTCGAGCATGTTCTGTATGTCGGGGGGTTGACTTTCATGGCCCAGAGCACACCGCCCCTGGTTACATTTACTGTTCCTGGGGCCCTGACATCCTGGGGTTTGTTTGTGAGCAGAATAACTCAGTGAAATTGGGGGAGAACCAGTGATTTCAGTTCATAGTGTTCTCTAGGTGTGACTTACATGTCTCGGGGTTCAGGGAGCTTCAGCCAACGTAACACTCTCCAGGGCGTTGGCTTTTCTCTGGAATCGGGAGGGTCCAGTTGGGGCAACAGCATCTGTAAAGGAAGGTGCATGACACAGATTCAGCAGGTTTGGGGAAATGTCTGTTGTAGGCGGTGAAGCTATGATGACAAATCCCCCAGCTGTACCGTGTGGTTATCAAGCACATTAGGGTTTGTGTGTATGAACATGGAACGTAGGCACTACGGGCGCCTCCCAAGCAAATCGGGATCCCTGACACGCTTCTCTCTGCTCGTAGATCTCAGCGGAAGAAATTAAGGACAACAGAGTAGTCCTGTTCGAAATGGAAGCAAGAAAGCTGGATAACAAGGTGTGGGGAGCGGATTCAATGGACATCTGGTTGGCCTCCCCACCCCCGTTTCTCTCTGAGAAAAAAACACAGTTCATGTGGGCCCCTCATCCAACCCAGCAGTGCAGGGATGGTGCCTCCCAGACCCTGCTTTCCTATGTGTGTGCGTCTGTTTATGAGTGTCTGTGTATGAGTGTGTATGTGTGTGTGCGCGCGTCTGTGTGTGTGGGTGTGTGTGTGGGTGTGCGTCTGTGTGGGTGCGTGTCTGTGTGAGTGTGTCTGTGTGTTTGTGCGTCTGTGTGGGTGTGTGTCTGTGTGTGTGTCTGTGTGTGTGCGCGTCTGTGTGGGTGCGCGTCTGTGTGAGTGTGTGTGTGTGCGTCTGTGTGGGTGCGCGTCTGTGTGAGTGTGTGTCTGTGTGTGTGTGCGTCTGTGTGGGTGTGTGTCTGTGTGTGTGTCTGTGTGTGTGCGCGTCTGTGTGGGTG